ATTTGCCCTCCATTTCTTCTATTTCTGCTGATTTCCTACCCTTGTCTCATGTGCATGGCCTCAGAAAGCTCACAGCACACCCACAGAGATAGGCATACTCTGTGCATTTGGAGAAATACCTTGCAAATGGCACTGCAGATCTGAAACCTCAGTATATTCCCTCTTTACACTCAGGCCTCTGAAATACCTGCATGTGCATAGAGTAAGTTCAACACTGTTCTGGCAACCAGAATGACAAATCTCATGAGATAACCTTAATGTGTGACCTCCTTTCCCCACCTCCATTTAACGTTGGTCTAGTCTAGCACCAAACAGAAGAAGGTTCTCCCCTTTCATAGCTAAGGCTTGCATTAATTCTGGCCTGGCTGTACACACTCCTGAGGTTTGTACAATTCAAAGAAATTTGCACATTTTGCTCACCACTAGGAACCCACCACTTCTATCATTTAGTTCATGCCCTGTCTAGCTTCTAAATTCATATCTGTCACATTATTAACATGCATTTCAAAGTGCTTTACACAAGCATGTCCAGCCATCTCACTTGTTTGACAAGTGAGCTGCCAAACTTCTGGTTTCTTAAAACTCATTCTTGTTACAGCTGTAAACATTTCCATCTCCTCATAGGACAAATGCTTTTGGCCCCACTAATTTGCTGTGCCATGCTGCTAGTGCTTGCCCAGTTACTCTCTAGCAACTACCTTCAGTTATATGCTCTCCTGACTAGTTCTTTCCTTTTGGCTGCCACGCTAATCAAATTTCCTTTCCCTCCTTGTTCTGTTTCTACCCATTTGCCCTTTAGCCGAAAAGAAATGGTTTACAGATGAGCCGGACAACGCCTACCCCAGAAACATTCAAATCAAGCCCATGAGCACTCACATGGCCAATCAGATCAATCAGTACAAATCTACAAGCAGCTTGATACCGCCCATCAGAGAAGTTGAAGATGAATGTTGACTCCCCAGAGAATGGACTTTTCAGGAAAAAAAATCCACCACAGGCCCAGCCAGCTTCACAAATGGTGACGTGACATTTATGCCTCTCACATGCCGAATCGCCAGTGGAAAAGTTGCAAAGGGCAACCGCTATGGCAAAATAAAGTAGACATCTGTTTGTCTGCCTTGATTATGGCTTCCATGTATTTTGGAAACTCTGTCATTTATAAATGAACATAATCAAAAATAGTCATGTATAGCCTCTAGCGTTTAAAATTATTTTTATTTATTAGACAAAAAATATATTTTTCTTTTTTTCCATGGTAAGGTACTTACCCTTAACACACCAGTTATGTGGCCAGACTCCTAATCTTCACAACAAAGCTGCTCTTTCTCTGTTTGTCTCTTAGGAGAATGATGGTCACAGTTATTAAACAATGCTACTAAAAGAGAGAAATGAGATACTAAACAAAGTCCTACATGTATTTTAATAAATCCCAAAGGAAGGGAAAACACCAACATGTTTCTTAACTAGAAAAAGTGTATTTTGTTCTGCATCAGCACCAGCTCTTAATAAATTACAACTTATCTATTTTCAAAGGACAAAGTCATATTTTTATAAATTTAAACAGTTACTCCCACTTTGTGAGCATTTCCTTACCAAATTTAGTAAAGCTTAACCAACACGTACTCTAATGTGCCAATCCCTTTCAGGACCATAACGTTAGCCCAGACACCAGAAATATTCTGTCAGATTTACTTACAAAGCATTAATATAAGACACAGCATATGAGTTAGCTGTTCAAAGTGAAGTTCATTTAAAATGTGAAATACTGCTGTACTTCCAAAGTCACATCTTACTAGAAAACCTGAGTCCATGTAAGAATACAACCTTGAAAACATCTCCCCCATAGCCAGGTGTTTAATTAAACAAGTGTATTCTTTTTTTAGGCATCAGTGACACATTAGTCCCCTCCATTGTAAACCCAAGTTATTTAACTAAGACATGAATTAAACACAATAAAACCAGGGCAAGAGTGCAAAGTTTAAATCTATCTGACCTCTGCCAGTGCCCTCTCATCTCCGCCACCAAAAGAACCCATGGCCCTTTGGGTGAGTTCAAGTCTGGACACAAACTTGGCTGTTCAGGATCAGCTGTGTCCTCACATGTGGTTGCTTGGTACTTGCTGTCACAAAGTGATGTCTCTCTTCAGAAGTACCTTATGCTTTTGTTCTAGGTTGCCTCAGTTCCACATATAAAACAGTAAAAACTCATAAGGCACTTATTCAATAGCAAACTCTGAGAAAAGACCTGTACAGACCTGTTTGCACCTACCAGTTGCATAGTGGCTGACAGAATTTACAGACATCAAATAAAATGATGGTCACTGCTACAGACATACAAGTGTTCTTGCCAATTTACTAACTAAATCTCATCTGAATAACTTAAAAAATTAGCAAGTAGGTGAGGAGAAAAAAAGGACGCTGTGTCAAAGAAGATAGGAACCCATCTTACAAGATCATCGTTGCTTTCAATATTGGCCAAAGTCAAAAATCATTAAACAAGACCAGATACTGTCATTAGATAAGCAGTATCATCCAATAGGGCAGGTACCACACCTATGAACTTATGCTAGAACAAACATCTATAATGCCATACTCCAACATTTTACCTAAACTATCTTGGCTTCTATGTCTGTCTGCTGGCTGCAGTACAAATATAACCCTGCTGCCACTTAATAGGCTTTGTTTTCAAGTGCATTTATGGACTGACACTAATTTTTCTATACACACTTCGTAGAATTAGTTACAAAGGAAAATAAACTCTCCTATGCTATATGTACAATTGGCTTGCTTAAAAACTATTTAGAATTGCTCTTCTACAAAGAAACACATTTACTTAAGCACTTTTATTAATCCTGTTTCATAGTAGCCAACTGCAAAGAAGAAACTGCTGGATTGGCTGAGAACCATTTCAGCTAACAGCAAATTCTCATTTGCATTCCAATCTCACCACAGATCACTTTCCATCTTATGTTGCCAGCTGACACTCTTTTTTCATTTGTGAACTGCCACAATCTTATTACCCAAGCACAATGCTGTTCTCAATACCAGAATCATCATCATCTAAATTTGTGTTCAAGATAGGCAGACACATTTGAACTTTATAGGCCTCTGTTTTATAGACAAGTAACAGAAAATCCTTCTCAAAGCCTTCAGTCTTAGAATACTTAAATCGTGCTATTTCTAAGCATCCTTTCTTTCAGAAAGACACTTACCACATAAATAAAAAAAAATAAAACTACCACCTACACTGCTCTGGCATATTGAACTACATTATCCTTTAACTGCAATACTCTTGACACCACAATGCCCACAGTAACTTAGCTTAGGACTTCAGATAAACAAGACTGATTATGCTTTTTGATTGCTGCAATATCCATTTATACTAATCAAAGAATGACTGAGTGACCATAACATCTTACTCCTCCCTTGCATTTAGAGGATCAAGTTTGCATTTCATCTGTTTGTACCTAGACATATCAAAGAACCTAAGGTTGATTTCATACCCTTTATACAATCAATTAAATCAGACTAGCTCAAATATGATACCTTCTGTTCAGCAGAATCAACTGTGCTTATGTTACATGCTGGACAGAAAACCTTCAAACTTTAATTAGTCACCTTTAACCAGAGACAGAGTCCAACTACCCAGAAAACTGACCCAGGTGATGGAAAGCCAAAAACAAGCTCTTTGCACAACAGAGACTGATTACAAGCAGCATATGAAATGCACTGTATAAGCAAGGTTATAGAACATTTTTACTGAATTAAAATGCTTGTCTAGAAACTTAAATTTTTCTTCCAATCTAGTCAGACTTTATAACACTTCCTATATGTTCCCTGTCTCCCACCCTACAATTGAAATTGTCACACCGTCCAAAATTCATGCATCCTTGCCAAAACAACAGACAGGAATTTTTGCACCGAAAAGATGATGTGCTTTCTGGAATTCCAGCTGCCTTCCTTTTGACCCAAGCAAAAATACAAACACATACCCTTACTCCACAGTTAAGCACTAAATACAGTTCTACATCTATACCACAAGAAATGCAAAAAGGATTTCTCCTGAATGCCAGACAAAGGCCTTCCAACTTGCAGCACTTACTCTCCAAACTCAAATTATTTAAGATAAAGCCATGTGATCATTCACTTGCAAGCATACAAGATTCCCATGGCTATCAATCAGAGCTCTGAGGTTGGGCAAAAGGCAGCACACAGACAGTCTGCAATATGCTGCTTTTAGGAATTAAATCTGAGACAGTTGCATGTGCTCCCCCGGCATCTGGAACCAAAGAGTCATCTGCACCGCTTCAAATCCAGTTAGTGTAGCCACCTAGGTATACTACTGTGGCAGGCTAACTTTGCTGAGACAGAGCTATTTGGACTGGGTACAGTGCCACATAACTGATGTTATGTTACTTCTGACCTTGAAGATAGCCTACAGCTACCTCCCAAACCCAAAATTGTACAGCTACATTCTGGTGGGGCCAGCCAGCATCACACCTCATTCTTCAAAACTAAGCAGGATGCTGTAAGAATGGTCAAGAGCAACGAAAGGCACAATGTCTAGGAACAGTTTTTCAGATTTGGACAGAAATCCCACTTCAAGGACTCTTCAGAGAAACCAGAACAAAGCCTTATAATTTAGAAATGGCTCGCACTGAATGTCACTAGAAACAAAGGCACTCATTGACTAATAGGGTAGGCCTCACACTTACATGCTGTGAACAACATACATTAGGCTTCTAACATCAATTTCTCTTATAAAGATGTAAAGATTTCCTTAACTGCTCAAGCAAGTCTCCAAAACATGAAAACCTCCTGTACACTGAAATAGCCCTTTTCATTTAAAAGCAATACCCAAACAGAGACAAAGACCAGAATGCATATGGATCTGTCATTTCAGTTACCTAGAACCATCCTGGCTTTGTCTTTCCAAGTTCCTAAGCTGCATGGAGAAAACAATGTAATTAGGGCAGGATTTGGTCTATGACATCTCTTCTTCATCTGTGACAGGATGCAGCCTCACTGCTCTAGGTCATATCATAACTCATAGTCTGCAGCTCTGTATACAGAGAGATGCACCAATAAACCTACGTTAGGATACAAGACAATGCCAAGAAAGTTCCTCAGGCTAAAAGACCTTACAGTCAACTTCTGTTATCCCAAATGGAAACCTAATGGATACAGCTAAAGGCACAAACAATTGCCAGAGATAACACATACTAATTCAGAGACAGAGCTAGGAAAAAAGACCCTTGGCACTAGGACAACATGACAGTGGCCTTTCATCTGTCTCTGCACCCCACATAGAAGGATTTCCACATTTGCTCTCTATAAGATGGTAAGGAGGAAAACGGCAAGGAAGTAAAGAAAGAGGATTATCTACAGCAAATCTAAAAACTCTCATAGGTTTCATGGAGCAGCTTATGCCTTTTTATAGCCCATGCACTGGTGTAACAGCAGATAGAAGTGAAGATGGTGCTATCCCAAAGGAAGAGTAAAGGTGCCTTGTGCCAAGGTTTGCACATTTAACCTAAAGAAGCTGAAAGACTCAGGCTTCAGAGATGCAATGAGAACATATGGACCTCAACAAAATAGGTAGGAATAACATGAGGCAAGCTGTGTATGAAGAATAACATGCTTCCTTTGAATCTACACCTGAGTTATATGCATCATAGATTCATAGATTGTAAGGCTGGAAGGGACCTTGGAAGATCATCAAGTTCAGCCCCCTGCATCATGCAGGAAAGATTCCAAGTGACCCCAGCAACGTGACCGTCCAGTCTCCTCTTGAAGATTTCCAGGGTTGTCAATTGCACTACCTCTGGAGGGAGCTTATTCCAGTCTGGACACCCTAACTGTGAAGTTTTTCCTAAAGTTGAGCCTGAAATGGTCTTCCAGGAGTTTGTGGCCATTACTCCTAGTTTTCCCCAAGGGTGCCCTGGTGAACAGTTTTTCACTGAGCCCTTGATGTACTCCCCTAATGTAGTGGTAAGCTGCTACCAAGTCCCCTCTCAGCCTTCTCTTCTTCAGGCTGAAGAGTCCCAGGTCCTTCAGCCTTTCCTCATATGCCTTGCCTTGCAAGTCTCTGATCATATGGGTGTCCCTTCTCTGGATTTTCTCAAGCTTTACCACATCCTTGTTAAAGTGCAGCGCCCAGAACTAGACACAATATTCCAGCTGGGATCTCACCAATTGCTGAGTAGAACGGAAGAATAACATTCTTCATTTTGCTGGAAATGCATCAATCGATGAATGCCAGAGTATTATTTGCCCTGCTGGTTACAACATCACACTGCTGGCTCATATTTATACTGTGGTCAATTATTACCTCTAGGTCCCTTTCATTTGTGGTGCTGGTCAGTCTGGTGCTGCCAAGCCTGTAGGTGTGTATGGGACTGTTCATCCCCGGGTGGAGCACTTTACATTTCTTGATGTTGAATTTCATCTGGTTCCGACCCACCCAACTTGGTAATCTGTCTAGGTCTACCTGTATCTGTAGTCTATCTTCAAGTATGACGACACCTTCCCATAACTTGGTGTCGTCCACGAACTTGGCCAGTGAACTCTTCACCCCCACATGCAAATCATTAAGATGTTGAAAAGCACTGGACCAAGCATCAACCCCTGAGGGACCACACTGGCCACTTCTTGCCAGGATAACACACCTCCATTCATTAGAACTCTCTGGGTCCTACCCTGCAGCCAGCTTCATACCCCCTTAACTGTCTCACAGATGAGCCCACAATCCTCCAATTTTTTTGTGAAAACGTCATGAGATACCAAATCAAAGGCTTTTTGGAAGTCAAGGTATACAATATCAACCTCTCTTTTCTCCAGGTGGAGAGTTACCTGATTATAAAAGGGGATAATGTTGATAAGACAAGACCTGCCCATGATGAAACCATGCTGACTGTCAGTCAGAATCCTACCTTCTGCAAGCCTATCACACAGACTCCTTAAATTCATTTTTGCAGGATTAATTAATCATTTTTCTGCCAAGTTATATATGTCTAATTCTTTAATTGATCATGCACCAGTTCTACAGCAGTAGTGAGACAGCAGTCATTCCTACCCTGCTCATTCTGTACCCTATCTGGCATGATTTTCCCCTTAACCCAGTGAAATACCAAAGCAAAGTAGTCATTCAGGAGTTCAGTTTTCTCCTGAGTGTCAGTATCAAGATGTCCTGAGTTGTTAAGCAATGGCCCCATGTTCCCATTTGTTTTCCTCCTGTTCCCTACGTATCTAGAGAAGGACTTCTTGTTGTCCTTGATTCCCGTTGCTAATTTAAGTTCAGTCGCCACCTTAGCCTTTCTAATCTGATCCCTAGAAGGGAGGGCTGTTGTTTGTATAGTCCTGCTTGGGGCCTGTACCAAGCTCCCATTGTTTGTATGCCTCTTTCTTAAGAGAACCATGATTTTCCTGTTTAGCCAAGCAGTCTTCCCAGCCCTTTTCCTACCTTTCCTCTGCATGGGAATGGACTTCCTCTGTGCTTCAAAGATCATATCAAAGAGGAAGGAAGCGCAGAGATCTTTTAAAATGAAGGTGGCTTCATACACAATAATACACTAATATAAGGAAAGAATCTGACTCTTCAAAGCTTTTACCTACACATGCACAAGAAATCAGACATTGATAGACACCATTGAGATACTTATTTGCAGAACAACTGTTAAAAAAATTAAAGCAACTGAAGACAGAAATGTTCATGTGTAAAAGCAATAACTTACACATGGATAATTACTTGTGTTTCTACTGCCTCTTCACTCACTATCTGATTCACAGCTACTGCATCCACTACCATGTGACAGATATCCAGCATGGTCTAAATGATGCAATAGACAGGTACACATACTTAAGCTCTCCTCCAAGGAACTTCCTTACAGTGGCTCTGGGAAGGCAACAAGTTTCATTGTGTACCTGAATTGCCTTTCTGAGGAATTTGTATCCCCTCATTTCTTTCCTATTAAGATGGCTTTGTATTAAAAACCAAAACAAAAGAAACCATACACCCACAGGGAGAGGAAGTGTGACTGCTCTGGAGAAGAACTTTATTGCAGGGCCTACATACCTACCAAAGGTTGGATGAGAGAAATGTGATCCAGGTCTATGGGACTCCAATAGGGAAATCCAAGGGAGCATGTGCCTTCTACTACACTGTTCACTGACTTCTTAGCACTCTACCAATCCACAAAGTTCTGGTGCTTCTTTAGAAGGTGGTCCCAAAAGTGACCTAAATCATGAAAAGCCTCATACCTCAAGCCCCTATACAAAGCACTCAATAATACACATAGAACTGTCGTTTAAGTCCCAAATGAGTCCCAGAGTCCTTGTGCACGTGCAGGTCAGCATGTGCATCATATCATCTGCCACATCTGGCCCATGTGAAGATCAAATTCAAGGGTTAGATTTTATTCTACCATTGTTTCTCATGGAGCTATGGAGTTATAGAAGCATGCTTTCATTTCAGTTAATTCCTCAACTTCTTGAAAACATCGGCAGTGCAGTCATAAGCACTATCATAAAACAGGTGCATTTCCTATGTGCAAAATGCACTACTTTTGTGAAGAGCTGACCGTAAGTATTTGATACTACTTAAGTTTGAGATGTACACTGGGACCTATAATCTACAAGGTTCTGTAGAGGGGAAAGCTCATTGCAAAACAAGAAAAGATACCATGCTAAAATTGAAAAAAGCAAATAAGCTGAACCTTTGCAGGCACCAAAGAAAAATTCATTGCAACTATGTTCTCATAGAAATTTGAGAAATCATCAAATAATCATAGAATTCATTTCAATCTTTGATTCAAAGGGAAGTAAAAGAAGTATAGACCTTTTGGGTCAAGTTTGAGGCTCAGTTCATCTCAGCTGATTCTTTATCATTATTCTTTTTTTTGCATTTTACCAACTCTACCCTCAGTGTCTTTTCCATTCATTACACTTCTTGTCCTGGTTCACTGACATTTAACATGCATTCACTTGAAGTAAATTACACATCTCACACCTTGCACAACCATCTACTGATATGGCAATGTTAAACAAAAAATAATCCATAGTAGACTACAACAACAAATATTACCTTTCTTTAAGTATCTGAGTTAATAAAGCATAACTGCTCTATTACAAAACTACTACAAAAATTAAAAACTACTAATAATTAGTTCCCATCTAGGGACAGTATCCTAATTACCCCATTTATAATCCTAATCTATAAAACAAAGAGGTTGAAAGAAAGTCTCCCACTGGTTAATTCAGGGAATTTAGGGATAGTCTTCATGGGTTTAAGGACGGAGGTGCTCAAGCATATAAAAATAAAATGAAGAAATCATTTTCCGAAACAAATAATATATTTTAACAAGTTCTAACCTGGAAATGGGAAGATTTTAGATGTCTCAAAAAATGTAGACAGCTTCATCAAAAATCATGTTTAAGCCCAAGCTGAGAATTCGCTCCCACCAGACACACTCTCTTCACCGTATTCTTTGGGACACACGGATTTCAAAATGAAAAATGACAGCCTTAAAAATTGTGTGATTTCAAATTTCACATTCTAGTGGCTTCCAAAGTTGGCCTTGTCTTTCAATTCACTATACACATATGAAATGTGCGCAAGCATTTTTCTACCTAGCCATTCCTCATAATAAGGCACAGGAAAAATACAATGGTATAAAAGAACATTAAGTTAAACAAGAATAAGGAGCATGGCTTCATCGTTCCTATTTTTAGACAGGATCGGCAATAGAGAACAAAGGCTTGTGCTCAGAAACTTTGTCCTATGTAATATCCAGTAACTAATATATTGTCTTGTAAAAAGGGTTTGTACATAACTTGTACATGGTTTCATTTTGTATTTTTCTCAAATTAAAATGTATTTGTGCTCTAACTCAAGGATGTATCCATTCTTTCCTTTGCATAGGAACAAATATCTCACAAACCATTATGCAACATGATGAACTCATCCCCCAAGTAATACTGGATCACAGATAATAACTGTACTTTGACTTTGTACTCCAACATAGCAACTTGGATATGAGAAGCACAACAGGCTCTAGCAGAACTGCTCAAGCCAATTGCCTGCCTTGGCCAGGGCATGCATTCTAACAAGAGATCTTTGAAAGAAAAATGTGAAAACCCTCCACAGATAATTAAGCGTACGATTCTTGTTATTTTCTCTCAATCCTTGAAAGCATTATGGCCTGAAGTAGTAAGTTCAAAAGTATATCATATACTCTCCCCTTATGTTAGGCTTGTACTTGTGCTAAAGACATTTATGATTGTCTAGTCTCTTTCCTTGAGCAGCAAAAAAACAAGTATAGCCATCTCTTACCTTATCTCATTTAGGATGAAGCTGTTGTGGATCCTGATCCTGGGAGCACAAATACTCACCCTTCCCTTTGCAAAGGTTTGTGTCCATTTATAGACAATGGAACTAGCCATACATTTCACACCAAGAACAAACTTGAGCTTCTGCGTGATCACGGCCCTAGAACTTAAATTAAACAATTTAGTCATTGTTGTAGTAAATCTTACATGGACTTCCTGTCAGTCTAATGTGTGTGTTTAACAAGCCTGTTTATTTTGAAGGAGATACAGAAAATTTAA